AGTTTTATCAATAAAATGATATTTTGATACGCCATCTTGATAAATTTCAATATGACATCCATCTAAATCAATATGTTGAATATATATTACACGTTTGTTCAAATGGTCACCAGTAAACATTGCAGTATAACCAATTTCAGCCCCGATTTCATCAGCTTCATTAGGACATCCCAAAGCAGTTATATATATATTATATTTGTCAACCCTTATCAGAAATGGACGAAATTCGATACCAGCCAGTGATTGCTCTAATATAAAAGGATCATCCCAACCTAAAACTTGTAGGCCAGAAAAATTTGTATGACTATTTTGACATATGCGTCTATATAAAGATATAATTGCAGGGCTAGGTGCCTCTTCAATATCACTAGATTTTAGTCCAACTTAATACCGATAACCAGGTTGATGTTCATGTTTTTCATTGCCTTCTAAAACCTGAGTATAAAAGTTTTTATTGCTTATTTCTAGAACAGTCTGCCATCCGACACGTATTGGATAAAGATAAACTCCATTTTTTAACTCTTTTTCACCTCGCATAGTCCACTAGCTACAAATATCAATACCATAGTGCAAATGGAGAATAATAGCACCAAGAGAAATCAATTTTATATTTAATTGAGGTCACTTGTTAGTTATGAAGTAAAGAGACAGGAAGCTTTGTAAGGTAAAATCAGATAAAATTATTGTTTTCAAAAAGTAAATAGTAAGATCACGCGACAATTTAAGAATCAGGTAAAAAAACAACGTCACCTACTTTTATTGCAAATTTTCATTGATCTTTTTTTTTTTTAATGTAAATAAATTGACTTTTTAATTCAAATTTTAAAATAAAAGAAACAAAATGCAAGTTTATAAAGTAAGTGATTTATAAATAACAAAGTATTAGTATTTAGAATTTCAATAAAAATGAAACCCATTATTTAAAAAAAAAATGAACTTGAATTCATGATAGAAGTATCATAACAGTAACTTGTCGTAACTATAAATGAGTTATGGCAAAAAATGCTGTAACTCATTATAGTTATGGCGTATTTATAGTTACAGTAAAAAATGCGTTACATCTGCATCGATAATTTGTAGATAACACAACTTTAAATTCAAAATATAATATAGTATATAACTTGTGAATGAATTTTTAGTTGATGAATATGAATAAAAATTGAATAAATAGTGCAAAATGGCAAAAAAGAATAGTGCAAAAATAAAGTCAAAACAGCAAAAAAATAGTATAAAATGGCTTTTTTTTTATTATATTTTAGACCATCCCTAATTCTGACCCAATTGATCCGGATTATAACAATTTCTTATCCATGATCTATATGGTCACCTGACCTGGGTCAGAACACTATGAAAAATAGCCAGAAAGTCTAATTTCTATTTTACTTTTTTAAAAAACTTAATTTTATAATAAAAAACTCAAGTAATTTAATTTTTGGTTCAAGATTATTGAGTACTAATAAATTTATTATATTAATTATCCCCACTGATCATTAATGATGATCTTCTGATTACTCCTGGATTACGATTTAAGCTAAATAAATACATACTTAATTTATTTACTATTAGAATCATTTTATCTGAATAGAGATTCTATGTGCATATTTGCTAGCATCATCCCAAGGGACAATTGAATATGAAAAAAAAGTTTGTAAAGAAATAGCACTTGGTTTTACTTGCCTGCTTTATGTTACCCCTGAGAAATTATTGCTTAACGAATCACTTAAAACTCTATATAATCGCTTGCACAAAGATAACAAATTGCAATTTGTAATCGATAAAGCTCATTGCATTTTTAGCTTTTGCAATTTTAGGTAAGGAAAATAATAAAAATTAGAATAGTTTATAGAAAAAACAAAACAAACTAAAAAAAAAATACCAAATTACTTTAAGAGAATTGAACCAAAATTATTCTAACTCTAAGATCATTGTCTTGACTGCAACTTTGTTCTAGAACGATGTAATAGATCTGAGAAATAATTTAAATATTAGCATCCAAAACTTTATGCTTGTAAGAAGCAAGGATTTCTTACGACCATAATTATGTTTCTCAGTATTAAATAAAGAGAATGCAAAATCAAACTTGGTAAAACAAGTAATTGATCTGGTAAAAGGTGTTGAAAAAACTGACCATGTCATAATTTACTGTGTATAGGTTAGTGATTGTTCAGAAATATATAAAGCCCTGTGTTCTAAATAGAAGGAAGAAAGTTAGGTATTTATCATGGGAAATTATTAGAACATGTAAAAAAGGAAGTGATGGTGAAATGGAATAAAAAGCAAACGTGTATTATGATTGCGACGTCAGACTTTGGATTGGGTATTGATATGCCCGATGTGCACCTGGTTATACATTATAATTTCCCAATGAGTATGAGTAAGTATATATATTTTATTATATGCAATTTTCATAGAAACTAATAATAATAAATATCTTTACCAATAGCTAATCTTTTTCAGCAATCAGGTCAAGCTGGGCAAAGCCAACAAAAGTCCAATTGTGTGATCCTTTATGCCAAAAAAGATATTCGTTCTAATTATGCTATTATTGCAGATGATAGAATGAGGTAATAATATTATCATTATCATTGCCATAATATATCTATAATTTATTGAATAATTCCCAATGCCTATTTACTTGTAGCAATAAAAGCAACAACGAACAAACTGAACTTTATCTAGCCAAAGCACAACTCCAATTGTTTGAGATAATATATTATTGCCTTACCTCTTACGAATGCTGATTCCCGCAAGTGTCGAACTATTATAAATGGCCATATGATCTAGCACCACCAGTTTGTGATTCTCCTAATAATTCTTGTGATAATTGCATCAGGCGTAATGTGGATAATATAGAAGAAGAAGATGCGCAAATAGATATTGTATATATATTAAAGGTGGTAGAGATATTATGCAAGAATAATGATAAAAAATCATACCTTCAGATATAATAGGAATTTTTTATTCTTCAAAAGATAAACGGCTTCAAAATAGAGACTTGAATTTGTCAGATCTTAACTATAAAAAGCTGAGTGTATTGACTACAAAAGCACTAGCCGAGTTAGCATTGGCTGATCTGGTTTGCCATGGTCTTGTAAAACAAACTATTTGGTTAGAAAGAAAAGCTAATACGGCTCACTTAACCTGCAATTTAGTTATTGAAGGAAAGACAGAAGATGCAGATCTACTTGTAAATATGAATAGCTAGTTATATTGGAAATAATTGTATTTTAGTTATAGAAAAGATTTATTGTATATCGATATTGTTATTAGCTAAAACTAATGAAAAAAATATTGAATAAAAAAAAAGAAAGAAAGAGATTATAACTGATTGTATGTACATGCGTATGTATTATAGTATATAAAAAGTATAGAATATTCTAGATTTGCATTTAAGTGTTCTATTTTCATGTGTATTACTCAATTGTTATTAGCTAAACTAAATAAAAAAAAGAATTGTAACTGGTATGTATGTATGTATGTACATATGTACTATAGAAGGCATAGAAGGTTCTAGATTTGTATTCAAGTGTTCAATTTTCACGTGTATTACCATATGTTATACAAAAATTATTTGCTGTGCATGTCATATGAAAAATGATCTATGTATCCTCTATCTTTAATGGGAAATATACCTTAAGGTTTCAATATTAATATGGATTTTTTTTTTTCACTAGGGGTTTCGTCATTTCAAATTTGGGGCTTGTCTTTCACCAGAAGGGTTTGAGGTTTTATCTTTTGTTAGAGGCTTCATCATTCATCATTTTGCAAAAAAAGTTTCATATAACAACTATAATTTTGGGTTTCCTGGCAACAGAAGCCTAATAATGCCAGAAGGCGTTTATGCACTAACCAGATTTCGATGATTCCTAAACCAAAAAATTGACTTTAATTTTTATTTATTTTTTTCTCATAAATATATATTCACTGAGTTTCGTAATGAGTTTCATCATTCATTATGAGTTTCATCATTTGTCATAAGTTTCATCATTCATCATGAGTTTCATCATTCTTCATGAGTTTCGTCATTCGTCATGAGTTTTATCATTTGTCACAAGTTTTGTCATTCATCACAAGTTTCATTATTCATCATTCGTCTAATTAAAGCTGCCTGACGAAACAGTTTTGTCATTCGTCTAGACAAAACTATTTCATCATTTGTCTAAACAAAACTATTTCGTCATTCATCTAGATGAAACTATTTCTTCATTCGTCAGGCATTATTAATCTGTATAATTTAAGTTCCATGAGCCACTTTATATTTGTCAACTTATTTATTAATAAAAGACGAAATATATGATGAAGCTTAAGTGATTATATTATTGTAATCACAGAACTTATGGATTATCGATCAAACTAATTTGAAAAGAGCGATATCGGATAATTGATAAACTACTTTTTTTTTTATTTTTTAAACTAGGCGCATAAGTTGCTTAAAGAGAGCTAAAACAAAGTAGTATATTGTATTGTACTAGTGTAATATTATTTTCGTTTACAAGGTTATAGTATATACATAGTAGGGATTTGTATCAGCATAGGATTGGTGGTTTATCTATAATTTGGATAAGTATTTATGCATTTAGATTTATACTGACAGATCTTGAATAAATGCATATCATACTTTAATGACATTGGTCATCATCTGTCAAATTCAAATTGTAACATAAGTAGATACAGTGTCAAATATGATTAATACTGAACTTATATTGATATCTATCAAAGTATTATTTGAAAAAATATATAGTTGTCATACAATTTATTTATACTCAGACAGATTTAAATTTATAATAGTTCGCCTCTTATTTAAGTTGATTTGTTTGGTGAGTATAATATTTATTAGATTATGGGATTAAAATCGGTTATCTAAAAGATTTGAGCCGGTTTAAATTTTTTTATGTAAAAACTGGATTTAACATATTGAAAACGGTTTCGAACTCTACATTCCTGATTTTAAATTTAGTTTTCAAATTGTATAGCATTAAATTAATGATAAAGCTTGAATAAATTTTTTGGATGCATGAATTATATTAATAGTGCTTATAACACAAAGATTTTTTATTTTTTTTTAGTTCATTCTTGTTGAAACTTTTATTTAAAGACATTTTTATGATTTATTAGTTACAAAAATTAAGCAAGGTAAAAAAAAAAAAAAAAAAAAGTAATACTTTTTCATTTGCAAAATGAATTGTTAATATATATTTTTTCTGATAATAATAGTTTACGATTTCACACAATAAAATTAGGTAGAGGAGACGAGAAAATTATGAATTTAAAATTTGCAAGGCCCTGAGTTAGAGAAGTGAAATTTTCTTTTGTAACTATAATAGCGAGGAATGAAGCATGCGAAGGCATATCTAATTGTATTAATTGAATTGAATTGAGTTAAAAGATCACTGAATTAATTGAATTGAAATAATTTGAAAATTTCATCGTAAGTGTTTTTTGTTATGGGTATTCATATTATTTGAAGCAATAAAGGGTCTTAAGAGCTAATTTAAATATTTAAACCTAAGAATTAGAAATAAATTAGAAACTAGAAC